AATTCTGGATGTGACAGCTGGCAGAGGGGTGAGGGCTAGGAGGAGGGGCCTCACTGAAGCCCGGGGTGGCACCCCAGAATTCTGGATGTGACAGCTGGCAGAGGGGTGAGGGCTAGCCAGCATTTCCCTCCAGGGATGTGATGCTCACCGACTCTTTTTACTTAAAAGGTCACTGCAGCGCGCTGGGCGTCTGCTCATTAGCAGGGCCACCTGCAAATGGCCCTGTTTGGGTTGCTGGCCGAGGTGGAGGAGTCAGGACCACTTGGTTCCCCTAATTGGACCAGAGGCTGGGTGGGGGATTGATATGAACTCATTAGGCTTGTAGCTACCACTCAAGGTAAATGTCAGAAGGCTTGTGATCAAGGGGCCCTGTTCTCCCTGGGTGCAGAGGACACTGAGGTACCATCCAGGACAAGCAGATGGAGACAGCCTGTGGGAGGCTGAGCCTGGTGATGGGACATCCCATGCTGTGCCAGGAGCAGACATGCCTAATCGATCACAGCATACATTCATAGAATGCAGACTTAGCTCCAGCTTCTCCATGCAGCCCAGATACCCCATGACAGATGGCACTACTGACTGCCCCTCACCAAAAGGGTGAGGGGCTGTGCTGGCACAGACCATGTGCCATGAAGTCCTGCCTGAGCCAGGTTGAGGGTCTGGGTTTAAGCTGCAGTCACCTTATGGATGGGCCCAGGAGAGGCGCTGTTCCTGCTCCTGGAGCTGGGACCTGGGCCAGAATGGTGGCGAGTCTCTGTAGGAAGCCTGTCGGGGGATGGTCATCAGACACCAGCTTTGGGTCTACCTCTCACCAGTGGTTTTGGGTTGGGCTGTTTTAAATAGTGTCCGTGTCAGGAGATCATGGGTGATGCCTGAAGGGGCCTGGCAGAGACATACATGTTGGGTGCACTTGGAGTGCCTGGTCCTCAGAAACTGGTTCCTAGTCTTGGCTCACCTGTCAGTGGGCCTCTGTGATCTGGGGGTTTGTTGGCTGATGCAGTGGTTCTCCTGGGAGCTAGTTGGGAGTCAGGGGATCTCCAGGGGACGTTCTGTTGGGCGAGGAGACAGTGCACTGGGGCCTGTCGGCATGGGGAGCCTGCAACTCTCCTCTCTGCTGCCCACCACAGATGATGGGAAGCTGTCCCTGGAGGAGTTCCAGCTGTTCTTTGCAGATGGCGTTCTCAATGAGAGGGAGCTAGAGGGCCTCTTCCATACCATCGACTCTGACAACACCAAGTGAGCCGGGCTTCTGTGGGGTGTGTTGGGTGTTCTTCCCTTCTCCACACCTCCAAGTCTCCATTTTTTGGTTCACTATGCAGGCAAGAGGCCCGGAACCCCCTGACTCACCAATCCAAAAGTCAGACTGGTCCTCAAGACCAGGCTGAGGTGCAGACCATGATATTGTGTGTGACTGTCACAGAGTTGGTGTTTTCTGAGTCACCTTGGCTAAGCAAGGAGAGACCCTGGACCTAGTGGACACAGGACTGAGGAGACATTGGCAGGGACTCTGTCTTGCTGAATTTCCACCCACTTCCAACCCCAGCCTTATCGGAGCCTGCTTTCTAAGATACAGTCCTCGTGGACCTCATCCCTGTAACAAGTGTGAATCCCAACCAGCCCGAATCCCCTTCTGCTCTTGAAGCAAGCTGAACCTTTTCTCTGGTCATGACCTACGCTGAGACTCAGGCCACCTAGCTGGCCCATCTCTAGAGCCAGTGCAAGTGCGCACTGTTCACACTCACTGGCCTTTCACCCCTGGTCACTTTCCCACTGAGTTGAGAACCAAAGTTTCTGGGGGTGCTAGAGCAGGTTGGGGGCTCCTGGGACTAGCCTGAGCGCATCTGGGCAGTTACCACCGACTCAGTTTTTAAGCATTCTAGTCCAGTGGTGGCCTGAAGCCAGGGCTGGAGAGCTGGCAGGATGTGAATTCTCAGGGAACACTCACGCTAGGAGTGACTTTAGGTCTTGTAGGGAGCAGAGGAAACTGTCTCCAGGACACACAAGGGCTCAGCTTTCAGCCTCCTGGACACCCACAGTCATACATTCTTACTGGGGCCCCAGCTGTGGTGGTGGGGAATGGTTGGGGTGAGCCTCTGCTTTGAGAGGTTGACCTGGAGGATCTAGGGGCAGGTTTGCGTGTAGTGGGGCTACCTTAGGGGTGGTCAGAACTGAAGACCTTTCCTATTCTCCAGTATTCATGGAAGTGGGAGTTATAGGCATTAGCTCCTTGGGTTGCTTTTGACCCCAAATAACTCACATGTCAGAGCCTTCCTGGATGTGGGAATGAGGAATGGGGTCCAGGATTAGGAAAATAGAGGAGGCTGTCCCAGGGTTTCGAGAGTGCCAGGACCCAGCAGGTGGTGATGGCCCAGAAGGGCAATGGTGGTGTGTGGTTCTGACAACCTGAGATAGTCACAGCCCACCCTGCAGCCCGGTCCCCTCCCTGCTTCTGAGCTCAGCTCCTTGTGGGTTCCCCTCCACACAAGATATGGCCCACAGACTTTGAGAGAAGCAGCCGAGCAGCCAGGTGTGGTGGCGCAGGCCTGTAACCCCGGCTCTCAGGAGACTGAGGCACGAGGATCATAAATTTGAGGTCAGTCTGAGATATACCGAGAACCTGTCTCCAAAGAAGGAAAGAAGGAAGGTGGATTTAAAGAAGGAACAGAGCACGGCGGGGCAGACGGATCACCCCCATTAGCTTCTTCTATGAATGGGGCTCCTGACGATAGCTCTTAGGGTGGGGGGCAGGGCTGTGTACAGTGGAGGGGCAGGAACAGATCTGCTGACACACACACTCTCTCTCCCTCCCTCTGTCCCTCTGTCCCTCCATCTTGCCCCTGCTCCGCAGCCATGTGGACACCAAGGAACTGTGTGGTAGGTGCCTGGCTTTCCAGGACCACAGTGGGGAGGGGGGAAACTGTGGGGCCTAGTTGAGGCTGGTGGGAGGGCCCCAGGGTCGGGAGAAATCTTCTGTCACCGCTGACCTTTGCAATCTCTTCCCACAGATTACTTTGTGGACCACATGGGGGACTACGAGGATGTCCTGGCCTCCCTGGAGACCTTGAACCACTCTGTCCTAAAGGCCATGGGCTATACCAAGAAGGTCAGTGGTACAGGTGCCAAGGCCCAAGTGCCGGTAGGTTCTAGATTTTTCTGAGCATGGTGGTCCAGAGTCTGGATTTGTGATGACAAGTGTTTGGGGCTCCCAGAGGGAGCCAAGATAAACTGTGAAGTGCATGGAACAGTTTGGTAGATGCTCCCCTGCCCAGTGGAGTGGGCATTGGAGCATGAGAGCCTGACCCTGGTGTAGAGACCTAGCAAGGGCAGCAACCCACAAATAGCTGAGCCCTGGACATCTCCCACTGTGGGCCTTCAAGACTGGATGGGCGGCTGTATCAGAATTTGACCCAGGGACACAGTGGTGCCCTGAGTGGCTGGGGATGCAGGAGCCGCGAACTTCGAGGTAGAACTCAGGAATGTAAGGATGAGGCTGTGTGTCCTGGAGGGGGTATGCTGGGGCTCCAGGTCTCTCTCGCCCACTCTTAGTGAAGTTGGCAGACGCGGTGGAGGATTGCAGTCTCACTTTCTCTATCTGTGCAATGGAAGCATCCATCTTCCAGACTTTGATGAGGTTGCAGGATGGTCTAAGCTGCTGAGTGCCGTGGGGCCATGTGGGACAAAGGTAACTGGTACTTTCCACTTTGGGGCTCCAATCTGTGCCAGGCGTAGGTTAAAACCAGTTCCCTAAGCTCCTCACACATGGCCTGCACCCTGCTTTTGGTGGATTGGAGAACACTTTCCTCTTCCTGACATGCACCCCAACATTGCTGGGTCTTGCCCCTGAACCTCCATCATCCACACTGCCTTTCCTGTCCCGACTGTGCGCTTAGTTTCCAAATATTTTAACGCTGTGGAAGAGCTCCTCTGGGAGATGTGCATTCTTTGCAGAGTTTTGCTACCAGCCCTAGTGTCTCCAGGTGGCAGGCTCTGCCAGGCAAGAGTTTGGCCCACTCTGCCCTCACTGGCTTCATTGGGGGCAGCATATGCTGGGAAGGGGAAGATGGATCGTGCAACAATTCTCTCTTGACCTCTCCATTCCCGTCTCATAGCAGAGCCTCGTTCTAGCAAGGCGGTGCTGAGGCACTGGCCCCACCCGGTTCCTCCTCTGCGGGGGAACAGGACCTGACCCTCCTCCTTGTTGGAGAGGGACTGAATCCTCCCAGGAAGCACAGCCAGCTGTGGCCAAGGTGCCACATCAAGTGCTCTAGTGGGTTCCTGGAAGTGGGAGTTAAAGGCATTAGCTGACATCATCTTCCACCTGGCCTGTTTGCAGAAGGGCAGCTCAGTGTGGGCGACTTTTAACTCTTTCCTTGCTGACCATTTGATTTTGTGATGCAGTCCTGGTCTCCATCAAGATGAACTGGTTTAGTTCTCCTGGTGGCTAATGAGGGTTCCTCTTGTCGCCTCTGGGTGGCTAATGTGGGTTCCTCTTGTCGCCTCTGCCGTGATGACGCCAGGCTCTGGGTTTTCAAGTGCGTCTCTCTACTAATTGGAACATTAATACCAGCTTTTATTTGAGAACCGTCTTCAGCCTGCAGAAGACATATTTTTGCCTTCCTTTGTTCAGTCTCGTCTCGGTGGTGGCAAATCTGTTCAAGTGCCTTTTGAGTTGTTTTTGTTTTTGTTTTTAAACGATCAGATGATTTTTGCCTCAGCTATCAGTGGATGGATTCTATTTTTGGATTCTGTCATATTGAACAGTCCGAGCTCCCCTTGATAAACCCTCATTGGAGCCTCATTCTTTTATCATCTCTCACTCAGCCCTCATCACCCGCTGAGTCTTTTCTCTCCCTCCTTTGGAAATTGAGATGCGATGATGGCTTGGGGAGTGAATGATGAGGTAGCCAGAATGTCTCCTTTATGATTCACCATCTCTGATATGGAAACAGTTTTCTATTCAAAAATAAAATTTATCCATAACTCATAGGTCAAGGGATTCAAAGGGCAGCACTGTTTTAATAGGTATTTTAAAGCAAACCCTAGTTTTATTCTTTCTTTCTTTCTTTTTTTTTTTTTTTTTTTTTTTTTTTTGGTCTTTTTGAGACAGGGTCTCCCTGTAGCCCCAGCTGGACTGAAACTCACTGTGAAGACCAGGTTGACCTCAATCTCACAGAGACCCACCTGCCTCTGCCTCCCAAGTGCTGGGATCAAAGGTGTAGGTCACCCCGCCCAGCAACATGTTCACTTTTATGATCAGTTATGCTTGGTATGTTCTTATGGTTATTTTTAAAAAGTCTAAGCCATTGTTTGACCAAGACAGATGCTTCATGCGGAAACATACAGTAAAAAGCTCTTAAGCATGTTACAGCTGTTCAGCTGACATCATGTGATCCCATTTCCTCCTGGGTCCTTTTTTTCCAAGACAGGGCGTCACTATGTAGCTCTGGCCATCCTGGAGCTCTCGAGGTAGATCAGGCTGGCCTCGAACCTGGAATCTTCCTGCCTCCACCTCCTCGGTACTGGGATGACAGACATGTGCCACCCACCACCTCCCGCTTCCTACATTCTAACGGCTCACATTTGACAGTGTTGCCTGCTTTAATGAGCCGTTTCTCGTAAGCAACCACTGACGCTTATTTAAGCCCCATTTTGTTTTTCTCATCTCTCTGGGAATGTGTGTATCGTTAGAACCCTGTCCTCTGTTGCCTTGGGTTTGTTATCGTGGCTGGTTTTTTTTTCATGTAAAATGGAATGCTTTTTGCTCATTATAAAGTTAGAATTGTAAAGCGTTCACCTTTGGTATTTCTGCAGCCACCACCGATGACGACTGCGGTCTTTGCCGTAGGGTTTTCAGAGCTGTTTCTTGTGTTTACCATGTTGTGATAAAGGTGAGCAGCGAATGTCCTCCCTCTGGTCACATTGGAAGGGTCTTACTATGCGGCACTCTATCTGTCTTTATAACTGTCTCAAGGACGCCTGACGAGGAACATTGGGAGGTGCTCACGGAGCATCGAGCCTGAAAACAATTACCCCTCTCTTTGTTATGAAATATGTAAAGCACAGCTCTGCGAAAAGACAAATGTGTCTCTTCCCCACTGTGAGAGGGTCCGTGTCAGAGGTGGGCTTCAAGTGTGTGAGAACCTGTGACATGCTACAGTTGGCTCAGGAGAGCTCAAAGAAAACATGCAAACACAACTGTGTGTGTATGGGTATATGTGCATATGTGTGTGTGTCATGTGCATGCACTATAGGTGTGTACATGTGTGTTGTGTTACATGTATGTGTTTGCATATGTACATGTGTATATGTGAATGTGTGTGCATGTGTGCAATGTATGTTATGTGCACGCACACATGTATGTATGTGCATATGTATGTGTGCATGTGTGTTTATGGTGTGTGTATGTATGTGCATATGTATGTGTGCATGTGTGTTTATGGTATGTGTATGTATGTGCATATGTATGTGTGATGGGTGTGTATTCATGTATATACATGTGTGGACATGTATGTGCATGTATATGTATGAATGTGTGTATGTGTGTGTGCATGTGTATATATGTATGTGTGCATGTATGTGCATGTGTATACATACGTGTGTGTGGATGTGGGCGTGGATGTGTGCAATCAGGAATTCTGAAAGGGGTGTGTGAATAAATATAAATCCCCCTCTATCCGCAAGACAGCAATTGGCAGTAGCATCCGGCCAGACAAAATTCACAGGCACTTCTGTGAATGAAAATTACTGCGTTGATATCATGACTTTTCTACACCTGTCATGGAGCTTCAACGGCAGTTCCAAACGGAGGAAACACTTCACTAATTCAGAAGATGCTCATTCTCCAGGAATCACTTCTGCCTGTTTCAGAGGCCAGCACAGAGTTTCCTGGCGATGGCCCTTGCTTCCCTGTTTGTTTTTATTTTTCCATTTTTATGCATTTTAAGTTTGTGTGTATGCATACATGCATGTGTATGTGAACATGCCATGGCATGTGTGATGAGGTCAGAGGATGGCTTTTGGGAATCGAGTCTCTTCTTCCACCTTGTGAGCCCTGGGATCAAACTCAGGTTGACAGGCTTACAGCAGGTGCTTTTACCTGCTGAGCATTGCACCAGCCTCTCCCCTGTTTATGAGCATCTAATTGGTCTTTCTTATGGGACAGCAGACAGCTGACTTCTCAAACTAAATTATATCTTGTCATTTAATTCTTAGCGCGCTATTGTTTTTTCCATGTATATTTTCAACCATTTGTTTGATGCGTATAGACTTTTATTATATTTTTATTACATAAAATAGTAGGTGTTGCCGGGCATGGTGGTGCACGCCTTTAATCCCAGCACTCAGGAGACACAGGCAGGCGGATCTCTGTGAGTTCAAGGCCAGCCTGGTCTACATAGTGAGTTCCAGGACAGCTGGGACTACAGGGAGACCCTGTCTCAAAAAGACCAAAAAAAAAAAAAAAAAAGTAGGTGTATTAGTGACTTTTCTGTTGCTGTGGTAAAACACTGTGACCGAGTGACCGAGGCAACTTATAGAAGAGTTTATTTGGTTTATGTTTCCAAAAGGAAGAGTCCATCATGGTGGGGAGGCATGGAGGAGTGGTGCCCAGAGCTGAGCGTGTGAATCTTCAAACAGGCACAGGAAGCAGAGGGAGACTGGTAATGGGCAAGGCTTAAGAACTCTTACAGCCCACCCCCAGTGGCATGCTTCCTCCAGCATGATCACACCTCCTAAAAGTTCCACAATCCTCCCCAAACAGACCATCAAATAGGGACCAAGTGCCCCAATACTTGGAGCCTACAGAGGACGTGCTCATTCAAGTCAACACAGAGGTGCTCAGCAATGTAAAACTTAGATAGCAAAGTATGAAGTAAAAGGTTCAAATCACCTTTAATCCCATTATCCCAAATGACAGAGAACATTTTGGTAGATGATTTCTCGCATCTCGTCAATATGTATTTCTTTAATATTTTAATATGCTGTCAGAAAACTTTTTTCTGTGTTTTTTTTTTTTTTTTTTTTTTTTTGAAGCAGGGTCTCCCTGTAGCCCCACCTGTCCTGGAACTCACTATGTAGACCAGGTTGGCCTTGAACTCGCAGAGATCCACCTGCCTCTGCCTCCTGAGTGCTGGGATTAAAGGCATGAGCCATCATGCCCAGCCTAACTTTTTACTGTTTTACCTAGTATTTTAACACTTTTCCCATGTTAAGAGGGTCATTTTATTTTATTATTTTGAAACAAGGTCTCACTGTGTAGCTCTGGGTGCCCTAGAACTCACTATGTAGATCAGGTTGGCCCAAAATTCACAGAGATCCACCTGCCTCTGCCTCCTAAGCCCTGGGGTTAAAGGTGTGTGCCACCACACCTGGCTAAGAGTGTCATTTTAAATATTCTTACTTGTATTTACTTATTTATCTAGGATTGGGCATATTAGGTTACTTCTAAGATTTTAAAGTTAGAACTATTGGCTGGGCGTGGTGGCGCATGCCTTTAATCCCAGCACTTGGGAGGCAGAGGCAGGCAGATCTCTGTAAGTTCAAGGCCAGCTTGGTCTACATAGTAAGTTCCAGGACAGCTGGGGCTACAGGGAGACCCTGTCTCAAAAAGAAAAATAAAGTGGTACTTGGTCCTCAAGAACATTTGACATTTGTCCCCTGTGGGGTGTGATGCAAGTGAGTGGCCCCAAAGAAAGAAAGAAAGAAAGAAAGAAAGAAAGAAAGAAAGAAAAAAGAGGGCTGGAGAGATGGCTCAGCAATTAAGAGCACTGGCTGCTCTTAACCTCTTCAGAGGACCTGAGTTCGAATCCCAGCACCCACATGGCAGCTAACAACCATCTGTAACTCCATATCCAGGGGATCCAGTGCCCTCTTCTGACCTCTGCTGGCATTGTATAACACAGGTGCACTTAACATGCAGGCATAACATTCATACACATAAAATAAAAATGAATTAGCCAGGCGTGGTGGCACACGCCTTTAATCCCGGCACTTGGGAGGCAGAGGCAGGTGGATCTCTGTGAGTTCGAGGCCAGCCTGGTCTACACAGTGAGTTCCAGGCCAGCTGCGGCTACAGGGAGACGCAGTCTCCAAAAGACCAAAAAAAATAAAAATAAAAAGCATGAAGACTTTAAGCCTCTTGATACACAGACTTGGTGTGTGGGCGGCTGGGTCCCTGGACATCCACAGCCACGCTCTCAGCAATGTGTCCAGACCTGAGGATTTACCAGCGCAGCCTGGCTACCACGACCCATCGACTTTGTCCTCAGTCTCCTTATCTCCCATCGTGTTTTCTCCTTTTAGCTCTGGCTTCTGCAGCTGTTTGATGGAACGCAGTTGCACAGCCTCTGCACAGGCCTCTGCAAAGCCTCTGCCATTCTGATAGGGGTGCGCCCCCTGGATCTTGTCTAATCACTCAGGCACAGTGCCTTCACCTGCGGGGCCTCTGGCTGCCTTTCTTCCTTAGGAATATTCTGGTTTTTGCCTTTTGTTTCCTTTTCATGGTCCGCCCTGCTCTGTCGATTTTGACTTAACAGGTAAAACTTCATTTTTGTCTTAGTGACAGCTTCTGAAAAATCACAGTAAACATTCTCAATCTGGTTCTTATTCATAGCTAATTCAGAACATTTTGGTCTTGCTTTGGGAATGAAGGAGTTTCTGAGACAGGCAGGGAGCAAGCTTCCCCAGTGCGCTGCCTTAATCTCGTCTTTGAGATGGCTCAGCAGGGACCACTGTTTGCCTCAACCCCTCAAGCCAAGGACCTGAGTTCAATCCCTGAAACCCACGTGGTGGAAGAAGAAAGGCGAAAGCAAATCGTCCTCTGACCTCCACACGTGTGCTACAGAGTTCTCATGCACACAAATACATAAATGAAAAAAAGAGCCTGCGCTTGACCTGCACGGCCACCCGGGCATCCCTGTTCAGGTCTTTCTCTGAGGGTCTAGTCTGGATGGGTCAGGAGAGTCCTGAAAGCTGTTTGTAGAAAAGGTGCTCGTCGGGCAAATTTGAGAGACCAGCACTTTTCTGGATAGTTCCCTTGTCCTGAAAATGGGTGGCTTGTGAGTGGGTGTGGAACGACCCCTCTAACCCTTCCTCTGGAGTGTGTGGAGCTGATCTGAGGAAAAGGGAATAAAAATGTCTCTTCGCTGCCCTGGATGTGGTGTGTCACATCTTTGGAATTCACATTTACTGACCTCAGACATCCAAGCCCTCTGATCTGCATGTTTTGAACTCATTTCTGTGCTTCTCTGACTCAGTGTCTTTCTAGCAGGTTTTTGTTGTTGTTTTTTTCTTGGAGTTTAAATTTTTTTTTTTTTTTAACCAAGTTATACCATCTTGGTCGTTTGGGGCTGTTTGATTGTTGGAAGCCATTGCTCTGTGGATCCTGTGTGGGGTCGGGTCTGCTAGGAGGACAGTCTCTGCAACAGACTACCAGGAACTGCTGCACTTTGGGCTAGGAAGCCTTCTCCCTCAGGCCTCAGGACAGACCGTCCACCTCTGAGCACCCTTTCCTGCCTCCCCATGCCCCTGCCTTGTCCCTCAGGCTCTCTGAGGAACTGATGTTTAATTATTGCTAATTAATTCCCAGTCAGAGTGATGGATGGTTTAATTTGCTTTCCTTGAGGGCCCTGTTTCCCCTGCCTTGCCAGACACTGGGCAGAGTTGCAGAGTGCAGGCGGGAGTTGGAGGGCAGGTGAATCAGGAAGGTGAAGTCTCAGTGGAAGAGGTCTAAACATCCCAGGTTTTCATTGAAAGCCAGCACTCCTCCCCTCCCAACACCCAGCACCCTGGTCGCCTCCTCACCCTCACCCTCGATGACCCTGAGAAGCCACGCTTCTCCAGTCTCCTCTGAAGCCTTCCACCATAGCCAGAACCTGGGGAGGGCCTCAGTGCTGAGGTCTCAGAGCAGAGCAAGTTCAGCCGCACACACAGCAAGCAGACTCTGCAGGAAGCCTGTTGGTCTGCCTTTTCCAGAGCTCACCCCTCACCATGTACACCACCGCCCTCTCTTGAATACTGGCTTCTGGCACTTTCCTTGGGAGCCAAGTAACCCCTTGACTGTGTTTGAGTCTCTTCATCAGTTGTCTGAATGGCAACATGAACATTCAGGGGTCCAAAGAATTTTCCTTAGAGGAGAAAAGAGGGAGCAGAGGGTGTGAGGACCACCACCCTCTCCACTGCAGCAAGAGGAACAGAACCACCAGTGATTTCTGCCACCATCAGCATCACCACCATCATTGTGACCACCATCATCATCGCTACCACCATCACCATTACCACCACCATCACCATTACCACCACCATTACCACTGTCATCACCATAATTATCAGTACCACCATCACCATCACAACCACCACCAACATTACCACTGTCACTATCATCACCATTACCATCATAATCACCACCATCATCATCATCACTACCATGACCACCATCATCACCATGACCATCATCTCTATCATCATGATCACCACCACCATGGCCATCATCATCATCACTACCATGACCATCATTAACATCACCACCACCATCAGCAGCAACAGCAGCAGCACCATACTCACCACCATCATGATCACCATGACCGTCTTCACTATCATCATCACCACCATGACCATCATTACCATCACCACCACCATCATCACTACCATGATCATTATCACCACCACCATCATCATCGCCATCATCATCACCATGACCATCACCATTACCACCACCATCATCATCTCCACTACCATCACCAACCATGATCACCATGATCACCACCATCACCACCATTACCATTGCTGTCGTACCAGCACCACCATCACCCACATCTCCATCATTATCATTAATGTCATCATCATTCCATTTGCCACTTCATCAGCACCACGGTCACCATCACCACCATCTTTATTATAGCACCTACAGTTAGCATCTGCCATGCGGCAGGCCCGGTGCTGAGCACTTTCTGTTCATCTGGGCACTGACTTTGTAAGGTGGGTGCTCCTGTGTCTCAGTGTGCTTGAAGAGGTCACAGCGGATGAAGCCAGAGTTCCAGCCTTGGCCTCTGAATTCTTGGCCCCTGTTTTGGATCCTCTGCAGCTTCTAAGATGCAGAAAACAGTGGAGCCCCTGCCCGCACTGCAAAGTGGAGACAACCCCAGGTGCCTCCAGTCCTGCACCAACCCACATCTCATCCCTTCCTTCTCTCCCTCCCCAGGTGTACGAAGGTGGGAGCAACGTGGACCAATTTGTGACTCGCTTCCTCCTGAAGGAAACAGCCAATCAGATCCAGTCATTGCTCAGCTCCGTGGAGAGCGCAGTGGAAGCCATTGAAGAGCAGACCACCCAGATCCGGTGGGTCGGTGGGACCCATGGGGGTGCCCACACCAGCCTGATGCTCTGTGCACCTGGGTCACCTTGGGCAAGTTGCTGCATCTCTTTGTACATTTCTCCACCTATACTATGTAGACAAACATATAACCCAGCACCTGAGCCCTGGTGAGGCTATGCCGGGTATGAGGCTGTGCCTGTCTGAGACTCATGGATCTTGCCACAGCCTCTGGTTCATACAGAGCTGTTCTGCTCCCCGGCCTGCTTTTGAAAACTGGAAGCCGGTTTAGGAAGTGGTATCTGGCTGCAGGATGGAGATGCAGGTACCACAGGCCAGAAGTACTGTGCCTAGAGAGGGGCGACAATTCCTGCCAAGTGGACCCCACCGTGTGGGGGAGTCCCTCTTCGTTCCTTGGAGGGATGGGGAGGTGGAGGGAGCTGCTGAAGGCAGGGTAAGATCAAACTGAGGCCTTCTCTGGAGATCAAAGGAGATGCATGAGAGGAATGAGGTTCAGAGTTACTCCTGAGCTCTGGGTTCACAGGAAAGCACTTGGCACTGTGGATACTGTGTGTCTGGTACCTGGACCAGAGCACTTTGCTCCTTTCAACCTAGAAGGGTCTGTCCAGCTTTGAACGCACCCATGTGCTGCCTTAGAGCTCAGCAGACTCCTGTCTGCTCCAGGAGGCAAATGGCACCTGAGCCCACACTCTATCCAGCCCTCGTTTTCCCAGTGCAGTCTCCGGGTGCCTGGAAAAGAGGCACAGTGTGGCCAGGGTGTCCCCTTGATGTGGGGTGGGGTTTCAGGGGTGTCGTTAGGTTGGTGAGGAGCCAGTCTCAATCAGATAGGGCTGTGAGGGCCTCTTGATAACGTTGTCAGAATGGAAACGTGTTTGCTGTCAGCACTTGGAATTGCAGCCCAGGACTCTGCATCAGGACCAGCCTGTGGTCCTGTGAGTCCCTAGAGTTAACAGCCACCACTCTGGGAGCTGACAGATTTCCTTTGCTTTTTATTATTATCATCTTGATCAAACTTGCCTTTCTCTCCTGCTGCAGACAGATAACATCCTTGGGCAATTTTCCTGGCTGGTTTCCTGTGCTATGCTGGCGCCAACCATGGTTTTCCCTGCCTGCCAGCCCCAGGGGTGGGGGTGTGGTAACTCTGAGATGTCTGTAGAAGGGAGGGATGTCTTGATGGGAGTTCTGTTCCATACCCACACATACCTCAAACTGCCCCACATCTCAGCAGCTCTGGCTCCCTGCCCTGAGTTCCCTGGGGCTTCCCTGTGTCCTCCTCCTGGAGCAGCCCCGGAGGGTGCTGTGTTCCAGGCCCAAGCTGTTATTCAGCCCCTGCTGCTAGAGGGGGCCTCCCACTCAGCTCTTCATGGTCTGAGGGACGCACTGAATTTGTTGCTTGTTTGTAGAGATGCTATGATTGGCAGCTCAAAGCTTCCACCAGCCTTTCCCCGGGGCAGCGGAGCCTGCTCCCTCAACACTGGGGAGAACCTTGCTGAGCTTTCAGGGTTTGCAGGAGACAAATTCCAGAATGTACTGAGGTGTGCAGGGGCGGGAGTGGGGGCACACACATGGGTGCAGTGTGTGTCATACAGATGCATTAGGTCCCTGAGTCCTGTTGATGCTGCTGAAGTCGGCTTCTCAAGCCCCTCCCCTTTGTGTGTAAGGAACTGGCTGTTCACCCCATGTTTTGGGGACCCTGCTAGGTACCAGGCACTAGGATAGCAGTGTACCAGGAGATGTGTTCATGGGGGAAGGACACATGGGGACAGGATTGGGGTCTGGTTCAGGCCAGACTCATGTTTCTTCTGGCTCCCTTGCTGGGGGTGGGGTGGGGGGGTCTCACTGGTGCCACTCCAGTTCCTCCAACCCATAAGTTACCACACAGCACAGTGACTGAGGGAGGGAGGGTACTTGGTGTCTCCTCAGCCTGGGCTCAGTCTGTAGTGACTGACAAGCTGGGAGTTATGAGGTTAGCTAGAGAGCTGCCTGGCCCCACTTTGCTTCAGCCCTGGAAATACACCTGTGGGAACAGGACCTGGGTTATAGAGTCCTGGGATGGAGTGTGGCCACACGGCCTTGGCAAGCCATCTGTCCCAAGGGCCATGTTTCCTCTGTGGAAATCAAGGCCACTCTGTCTACCTGCAGACATGGACCCCACCGGCAAGTCTGTGCACACAGCAGCACACAGTCGGTGCTTCATAAGTGCACAGTGAAGATGACATGGGTGGCCGTGCCCCTGCAGCTGACCTCATCAACCCCGTGTCCCCCCCCCCCCCCCCCCCCCGCACGACAGCGCCAGCATAACCGGCCCCCCCCCCCCCCCCCGCACTGCAGGCAGGATCACTGTAAACCCAACCTCGGCATCTCAGAGACCCGCTACGGAGGCCCCACTCCTCCCTACGTCCCCAACCACAAGCTCATGGCCCCGGAGTCAGGGAAGAGCCAGCCTACGGGTGAGCACGCAGCTGGTTGCAGCCCTCCAGGAAATACCACTGGGGTCTGGCCTGGGCGCTGAGGCTCACACCCTCGGGCCTGGCTTCACCACCGTGGTCTCCATCTCATCCTCAGCCACTGGAGAAACAAAGGAGGAGGGGCTGGAGGCCCAGATCGGCCGGTTGGCAGAGCTGATAGGAAGACTGGAGAGCAAGGTGGGCTGCCCCTCCCTTCCGCCCCGCCCTGTCCCATCCAAGCAAGGAGTGTGAGTGAGGCGGTCAGGGCGGAGCACCCTGGTGGCTGGGGGCTGTGGAGAGCAGGACCTTGGACTCGCTCTGGCTGTGAGAGGGCAGGCAGCATCTCCAGGGGCAGAGTGGCCAGCTGGGTCCTGTGCCGTGGTCGCTTCTGAGGAGGCTGGCTCCGAGGCCCGGTGGCCTGAGTCAAAAAGGACGTGGAAGTAAGTGGGGACCAGCGATGGTTGGGGCAGGTTCCAAACACGGAGGTGCTACGGTACAGTATGACACAGAGAGTGTTTACAGAGCCACTTTCCAGGGACCATTTGTGACTCGGAGTATTCACAAGAAAGAGCTTTTCCCTAGGCTGGTGGATGGGCTGGGCTGGCTCAGGAGATCCACTGATAGGTTTCTGTTGTGCCACAAAACAGCTGTTCGTACTTACCTACTCTGAGCCTGAGATTCCTGTTCTGGTGATAGAGACAGAACAGGGCCCCTCACGGAGGTGCTGACAGGGCAAAGAAGGGAGTTGCCGCAGAGTTGTGTCGTCCGTCCCGTCCCCCCACCCCCTCCACCCCCAGTTAGCATCTATCACCAAATCCACATGGCTGTGTACATAGCTCCCTCCTGTCTACCTAAACATGTGACAGGTGTCTCAGAGCCCTGGGAATGTGTTTCTTACACAATGGGGTCTCTAGCTGGGTTTGGAAGTTTATTCTGAAGGATTCACTGAGATGAAACAAGGATGAACTCCCCATTGGGGGAGGCGGCCCCAAGGGACCCAAGTCCTGTTGGTGGCCCAGCTGCAAGACAGAGGCTGAAATGGGGTCCCCACCCACTCACTTAAGTTGCCCAGGGTGAGCGCAGCTTCCGGGTGAGAGCCAAGAGCCTCCCGGAGGGGACCTTGTGCCCGGTTGTCATAACAACTCGGTGGGGGCCCAGGAGGGAGGCTCTTTGAAGCTTATTTTTAGCAGCCCGGTCGCCCTAACAACCAGGCTTCCTGGTAACAGGGAGCACCTGGGCGTCCTGGAGACAGGGCAGGGTCTTCTGTGGTCTTTGATTGGCCTGGGCCACAAGCATGGACCAATCCTTGCCTGCTCCAGTCCCCCTCCCCCCCTGACCCCCAATCACCTCCAACCCCGGGCAGGCCAAGTAAACCTCCAGCTGTACCTGCAGGGCAGGGAGGATGGAGGTGCTGGGTACCAGGTCTGGGCGTTGCTGGGACTCTGCTTCCTCTGACTACAGAGAATCTAGGAGGTTCCCACTGTGGCCCCTGAGTCACACGTGTGGCTGTTGAGTAAGCAGAAGCAGCCTCAAACCTAAGAGTACATCTTGGCCACTGGGCACTGTCTGTGATACACATTAGAAGCCAGCAACCTCTGCAGGACCTAATAGGATTCTCATGAAGCCCAAGCTGGAGGTCTGGGGTCATGGCTCAGAGGTAGGGAAGACACTTGCCCAGCATGTACAAGGCCAGGGGTTCAAGCTCCAGTACCATGTTCACCCCCAACAAAAAGCTCAGCTAAGGAGCTTGCAAGGCAAAGCTCAAACATTAAGAACCAGCTCACTGCCATTGCTTTAACAGATGTGCCTCTTGCATGCTCTGTGTGTGTGTGTGTGTGTGTGTGTACGCACACACATGCACCAACTGCTGCTACCTCTTGCCTACAGGTAGGGTAGATGGGCACCAAGGCTCTGATTGTTGGGGTACCTACACGGAAGAAGGGAGAATTGGTACATCTGTCAGGTGGAAAGAGATGTGGGTTCAGACCCAGGTCCTTCCTGACACAACCCATTTGGGGGACCTTTGGAGCTCAGGGTTCTGTGCTATGCAGCTGAACATCAGTGTGTGCTGGGCCCTGTCCTAGGAGCCAGCTATCGGTGAGCAGCAGAGCTGGCTTGAGGAAAGCATGTGAGATGTGGAAAACTTCAGGTTCAGGGTCCGGGAAAACTGTGCAGGCCACTCTGTGTGGGTCACTGCATTCCTGGGGAACTAGAGGTCACCGCTAGGTTTGAGGTGTACAAGTTAGGGGTCTCAGAGAGCCTATCAGAAGTGTCCTGACTTCAGGCTCCCTGAGTGTCCACTGCTGCCTAAGGCCTCCCTGTCCCAGCCACACTCCCCAAGTTTTGGGGGGCACCTGACTTGGTCTCTGGGTCCCCAACACCCCTGGAGGCCTGGACCATTAAGAGTTCTGTGCCACTTCCCTGGGACACTGGTTCCACTGTCCCCTCTAAGGATGCATTATGCTGGGAGGTTGCAAGGAGCCCTGTCTTCAAGGCCTGGCTGTCAGAGCTCTGCCCCCAGCCTGGGAGACCCCAGAACCCTTGGTACATTGGGTGGGCGTTACAACTCTGGGGCCTGGTGCCCTAGTGCATTGTCCTGGGGGCCTCCCTGGAGGAGGTGGTCTCTGCCACAGGTATCATTGTGTTCTCTCATTTCAGACCCTCTGGTTTGACCTGCAGCAACGCCTCTCAGATGAAGAAGGCATCAACATGGTGAGGGCCTGTTCCCAAGCCCCCTTCATCCACCACCCCCTTTTCTGACCTTAGTCCTGCTTTACCAGGACTCTTAGAAGCATTGTGGCTCAGTGTCTCTGAGCACCTCATCTGTCTGGGACCACCAGAGGGGGAGACACAGTCCCTGCCCTCCCCTCTCTTCAGGTGTGTGGTGAGCCAAGGAAGCCCACTTGGTCAGAAAGGCAGCTTGCTGGTCACTCTGTCAGCTGTCTCTGGATGGGACACCTTGCAGCCTTGTTAATGCTGTTTGTGGGGACTTTATACCCCTTTAGTCTGGCCCTTCCTTACTCAGATTTCATGTAGAAGAGTCAAAAGCCAGGGTGGTTTTATTTTGACCCAGTTGCTGTGACCCCTCTGAATTGAGCTATGGGTGACCCAGGGTTTGGACTGTGTCCCTGCGGCTGGGGAAGGGCCTGGCACACAGGTATGCATGCTCACTTCCACCCTGCCTGGCAGCACCTGCAGCTGGTCCGGCAGGAGATGGTGGTGTGCCCCGAGCAGTTGAGCGAGTTCCTGGACTCCCTGCGACAGTACCTTCGGGGCACTGCTGGAGCGAGGAATTGTTTCCAGTAAGTAACTATGGCATGCTGCAGGGCTGGGTGGCAGTCAGGGGCCCTGACTGACAGTGGGGATGAGACAGAACCAACCCTCATCCCAGGAGGTGTGTGACTGAGAAGTTCAGAGAGTGGGGCTCGGCGTCATCCCAGCTGTGGGGTTGGGTGGATGGCTTCATCTCCCAGACCTGGGCTTACTCTGGCAAGCTGACAGCATCTCGAGAATGTAAATAGAAAAGCTGAGCTGAGGCTGGCCTGCCTGCCCTCAGCTCACTCAGTGAGAGCCTTTGTTGCTCACACAGCACAGAAGCCACAGCTGACAGAAGGGGTCTTCCCAGGGTGCCTGTCGCCCCCTCCCATCCAGCAGCCCTGCATAGTGTGGTCTCTTGGCTGAGGCCACCTCTAAGGGTCTGTGAAAGAGAACAGTCCCAGAGGACTGTGGACACAAGCCCTGGCCCTCCTCCTGGCTCCACAGTCACCCCCTCAGTCTGGCCTCCACCTCAAGGGCCCATTTATTTGTGCTCTGACCCCACAGTGAACCAGGCAGGCTGTTGATCTGGTTGAACATTTATTCTTGGTGAGTGATGGGCAGTGCCAGCTGGTTCTTCCAGGGGGCCTGAGAGCTACTGCAGACCAGGGGGTACAGGAGTGGAGGGCTGAGGGTCACCCCCCAGGCAGGGGCATGGTCAGTGCCAAGAGAGGGGTGGTGGCGGTGGCGGTGGGGTGTCCAAACAGACTGATGTAGGGAGAGCCACAGGCTGTATTGGAGTGGCATCCTCAACTAGGTTTGTCCTGTTTCTGCTGAGTGAAGACGGGCTGGGGAGCAGCTGGACCACAGGGCGGAGCTGTGGGGTTGGCTGATGACAGGGAGGAATGGAAAGAGGCAGTGCAGGGAACCCCAAGGCTTCAGAGACTTGATAAAGGATCCGACCGAGCAGGTAGGCACACGGGAGGCAGGAGTCACGTTAAAATTCAAGGTGCCTTGGGCTGTTTCAAGAGACCTGGTCCAAGGTCCTTGCCGAGGACAGGCCCGGCGTGCAGAGGGCTCTTCTGCTGGTGTGTTTGCCGAGCTGGGGATGAAGCCAGGCCCTTGGGAGTGTTGGGCACCTACTGCCCCACCGAGCCCTGGTCATGTTTCTTAAAGGGGACACCCCTTTATCCTCACTTTGGCACTGTTGCCCCAGGCCTCCTTGAAGGATGGGACCCTGTGGTGGGGTCTGCACAGGGCTTCCACCCTCATTGATCCACTGTAACCTGCACACCGAGCTGCCTGTCTGAGGGCCCCAACCCCAGAAGCCTTCGGCCAGGAAAAGGCAGCCACCCCACTGGCTCTCATTATCCTGCTGAGGCTAGATTCCCAGGAACCCAACTGTCCGTGAGGACCTTTGCCTGCTCCTGGAGAGCACACAGAGCAGGCGCAGGCTCCAGCTGGCAGAGGGCCACAGGCTGCGGCTGATTAGTGGCTGACAGGCACCCCCATCCACACACAAGCCCTGACTTCTACAATTACACAGCAAGCATTTGCCCCTACAAGAGGCTCCTCCTCCAGGGGTTTGGGGTGTCCTCCTGCCATGTGTAAGGGAGAGAGGCAGCCCAGGCTAGGAGGAGCTGCTGGGACAGGGATACTACTGGGTGGGACCCTTGACCCCACCATGGCCACCAGATCCCTCCATTTACCCCACAGCCCCGGTCATGCAGGACCTACCCCACCCAAGAAGAGGTGATGACCCAGATCACTCAAGGGACTGGCCTGGCCTACGGGTCATTCAGCCTGGGGCAAGACTGCAGCCTCAGTTTCCCCTTTAACTCGCAGAGGTTGTCCTAAGGACCAAACCCAAGTGTCCATTAGAGTGCAGGACAGGCTGGGTGGTTTGAAAACCAAGTGCATGGGCCACAGATCAAACTCAGGTGTTCCCGAGACAGGGTCTCCCTGGAACTCACTAGACCAGGCTGGCCTTGAACTCAGATCTGCCTGCCTCTGCCTCCCAAGTGCTGGAATTAAAGGCATGCACCACCATGCTCGGCACATTTCTTTTTTGAGGAGGTCAGAGGATAACTTTTGAGTTGGTGCTTTCCTTCTATCATATGGGTCCTGGGGTTTAAACTCGGGTCATCGGGCTGGTCGGCAAGCCGAGCGTGTTTTTATGAGACAGGGTCTTCTGTTTTCTCATGAGGGTGCTGGGGTTGAACTCTGGTCCTTAAGCTTAGATGGCAAGCACTTTACTGGCTGAGCCACCTCCTGAAGCCAGGAATCTTAATCTCATTGTGATTCATTCAGCAAATGCCCTGGGCCAGGTACTGAGCCAGGAGCCCCTGTGGCCCAGCTGCCACCTCTCCCAGGATGCCCCTGGTGTCTCCAGCTCACATTGTCAGTTTTCGGTGGGCCCGAGTCTGGCTCTTCCGTTGCCCTGTGGAGGCCAGTTGGGGACTAGAGAGTTAAAGTGGTTATGTTGTGCATCTGTGGGCAGCAGGTAGCTCCTGCCAGCCACGGGTGGGCTTTTCTTTGTAGCATTGCTGCCGTGAGGCTGGCAGATGGCCTCACCTTCGTCATCTATGAGTTCTGGGAGACAGAGGAGGAGTGGAAGAGGTAGGTACAGCCCTGCCTCCCCAAGCCCGGGGTGGGGCTGTGGCTAGAAGGGGCTAGTGGTCTCCAGGCTGTTCCTTGACCCTGAGTACCTCCAGGAGAGGGTGGGAAGGGCAGTGTCGAGCCAGAGACTTCGCCTCTGCCTTCCCCAGGCAGCTGGTGCCCTTCACCCAGGGGCAGCAGGATTCTTAGATTGAGGCGGGGGTTCTCACCCCAGGCTCTGCCAGATGGCTTCCTATATGAAGAACTGTAAGGGGTCGTTTCCCCACAGCCCTTCCAGGCATCCCTCAGGCGGCCCCCACACCCCTCAGTGCTCGCATCATCAGGTGCTGGGCCCAGGACCTTCACCTCCAGACCAGCTGGGCATGTCACACTGGTGACCCTGGCTCAGAGAGCAGCCTGGGCACCTTGCTGACCTCCCTAGATGAAGACAGCAGTCTACAGTACTGCTGGTTTCTGACTCCTCACATTCTACCCTCTCTCTGCAGTGAATGCTCAGGGACTGGGAGACAGGACCCCAGGGGTTGCTGAGACGGAAGTGAACAGGTCCCCTTCCTGTGCACACCAGGGTGGCTCTTGGGAACAGGGGCCTAAGCCTCCTGTAGCTCCCTCTGGCTACTGGGGCCAATTTGGAGGGGAAAAGGACAGGCTGGAAGTCTGTTTTTGTTCCCATGGATATGTTAGAAAGCAGTTCAATCTAGAACCAAAGGCCCTCCCCTATGGATGGTTACCAGGCACAAAAGTGCCTCTCACATCACTGAGTCCATTCCCCAGGCAGAGCTATAACTAGACCCGGGCCCCAATCTAGAGCTGCTCTGGGCCCACCAAGCCATGCCCTAGACTAACCTGCATTCCCTGGGCTGCAGGCACCTACAGAGCCCCGTGTGCAAGGCGTTCCGTCATGTCAAGGTTGACACGCTGAGCCAGCCTGAGGCCCTCTCCCGGATCTCGGTGCCAGGTAGAGGACCAGGGTCAGCATTGGCCCCTGGGGTGGGGTGCCTAGGATCTCTAAGCACCATCTCCAGGGGAGGGTCCTGTGGGAATCCTAGTCCAGATGCAAGCGCCTGTCCCAATAGTAGGGTGCAGAAAGGTCCCAGAGGAGAGGGGAAGCAGGGCCCAGGGCAGAGAGATGATGCATCGGGGTGCACATGAGAAGCCCAGGGAGTACGTCAGTCCAGAGAAAACCCTAAGACACAACCACAGAGGCCCCACAGTACCTACCCCAAGGGGATCTCACCTCTGCATGTGTATTTACCTAGGGAGCAGCACAGGGTCCCAAATTGTAGCTGGGCGTGCTTTTACTCCCCTGCCCTGCTGGAGACACCTCACCAGCCCGGGAGGAGCTTCCACCCCTTCCATCCCCTGTAGCCACCCCAAAGAAGTCCTCTCCCCCAAGCCCAGCCTCTGACTACTGCTCCCCAACTGCAGCCGCCTGGTGTACCTCGGGCCGAGACTGACCCCTCCTGAGGAGCCTGCTGAGGAGCCTGCTGCCATGCTCCCCTCTTTCCTAGAGACTTTGGTACACGGGCTGTCTTTTCAATACACTAACAGGAGCGCACTTCCCCTGGCATCCCCACACCTCACTTGAACTGGCAGGGCAGTCTGTGTTGCTGGGGCGTTGCTGAGACCAAGGATGGCAGGGAGGGCTTCGCAGCCCCCCCCCAACCTGTAGCCACCCCAAAGAAGTCCTCCCCCCCAAGCCCAGCCTCTGACTACTGCCCCCCAACTTCAGCCGCCTGGTGTACCTCGGGCCGAGACTGACCCCTCCTGAGGAGCCTGCTGAGGAGCCTGCTGCCATGCTCCCCTCTTTCCTAGAGACTTTGGTACACGGGCTGTCTTTTCAATACACTAACAGGAGCGCACTTCCCCAAGGCGTGCAGGAAGCCCCTCCCCTGGCATCCCCACCTCACTTGAACTGGCAGGGCAGTCTGTGTTGCTGGGGCGTAGCTGAGACCAAGGATGGCAGGGAGGGCTTCGCAGCCCCCCCCAACAGCCTTTGCCACCCCAGCCCGACTCTTAACAGCTGAGGCCCGGCAGGACCCACCTCAGACAGACAGGCCTTGCTTCTCCCCTCCCCTCTCACTGATGGTCCTCTACTTAGGAGCTGTGACCCTGTAGTACCCAGCCTAGGCCTGGGTCAAGCCCGCAGGCGGCAGTAGAGCCCGGGTCCCTAGCACCATGCCAGGCCCACAGCCACCAAATAAAGTCTGATTGGGAGCAGTGTGTGTGGTGTCTCTGTGACTTTTCCAGCTGACAACAGCCAGGGGAGGGAAGCAGCCAGGATGCTGTTCTGGGTGGCACAGAACCAGGGTGGCCCCGGGCTGGTGTCCCCTAACCTCAGTGTCCCCCCAGGCCAGGTCTGCCCTAACCTCAGTATCCCAGCTGTCAGACAGCCAGGATGCTGTTCTGGGTGGCACAGAACCAGGGTGGCCCCGGGCTGGTATCCCCTAACCTCAGTGTCCCCCTAGGCCAGGTCTGCCCTAACGTCAGTGTCCCAGCTGTCAGGCAGGGCGGGTACCAGGGCTGCAGGGTAGGTATCTTGACAAGTAAACTTGGACTCGTTACCCAGTGTGTGTGTCTCCTGGGATGTCTCAGGCGCAGTAGCTCACAGGAAAGGCTCAGTGAGGCTGGGGGGTGAGGTCATGGTTTGTGACCATA